TAGATAAGCTATCATAATTAAAAAAAATGATAAAATTTTGATAACAGAAGATTAAAGAATAGTATTTTTGGTTTTTATAAATTGGTTTGAAATTATGTTTATAGAAGTAGTTGAACTAGAACTTGATAGAAGATGTGATGTTGTAAGATTTAAAAAAAAATTATAATAATAAGAAAAAATAAAGTATAATATTTTTATAAAGATATTAGATAACAGAATGCTAATGAGATGTTTTAAAATAGTTAATTTTGTTTTCCTTATAATATTTGGTTGTATAAATAACAAATTAAATAGGTTTAATTTGTTATAAATTATTTTTTTAATCATAATACCAAAATGATCACTATACTTGACTAAAAAATAATCTAAATTATATTGATCTAATTCTTGATTAATAGATATAAGCATGGTTGCTTCAGATTTCAATATAGGTTTGATATAAAGATTTTTGAATTAAAATAGATTTGAATGATATAGAGGTATGACAAATAAAGAATATAATAAATAAGAAATATGACAAATAAGAAATATGATAAATAAGAAAATATAATAGATAAGAAAGTAAACAAGCAAAATTGTATATTAAAAATACTAAAAATACTTTACAGAATATACATAACATTTTATATTGTTACTATTATATAGAGAACTTATTCAAATATAAGTTCAATTTAGCCCTGATAGTTAACTTGACTTATATTTATTCTTGTAAGATCGACTGCTATGATACTGTATTTATATAACAGGATAGAGTTTAATTGATCAGGAATAAGAATTTGATCACTTAATGGATTAATTTACAAAGTTGAATTTAAGAAATAATAAGGATTAATTTAAGTATGACATTAATAATGCAATTACTTAAGAAATTTTAAGAATTATTAAGTTGTTTAGGAACAATCTTAGTGTATTACTACAAAAATTAGTATAACAAATATGACTTGTAATATAATGAAGTTAATAAATTAAACACTTTGAGAAGTTGATTTTTATTTTCTTTTATTTAAAGATATCGAAGTTTGTTCCTTTTATTCGAGTGTAAAGTGGCCCTTTAAATACATTTTTCTAACCACTATTTTACTATTGCACTTTAATTCATACCCACAATATGCTTCCCTTTTATCTAACAAAAATTGTGTTTTATTGTAAGTAAATTGTGTCAGTTATTTGATCAGACTGAGAACTATAAGACATAATAATTGTTGTTAACACAACAAGTATGCTAACAATAACTCATTATACACTCCTGCTAATTCCTAAACCAACCCTCTCTATAATAGGCTATTAATAAACTAAAAACTAAATAAGAAAAATATATAAACAAATAAATAGAAAATAAAAAAATAAATAAAAAAAATAGTTGAAGCCTCATTTCTATGTTACAAGGACCTTTGACATCCCCTTCCTTAATTATGAGCCCTAGCAAAGGGCTGTTTAAGAAATTCTGCAAGTTCTTGAGTTTTAATCTTCATAGCTTTGTCTATCAGAAATGAAAAATCTTCTTTAGTTATCCTGTATAAAGCATTAGCAGTAATAAATTTATTTTCTAGAATATTATAAAATTTTCTTATATTATATAATTGATATGCTCAAGAGGCTATCCTCCAAGCCTCCTTTCCTTTATTCTCTGTCATCTGTTTGTAAAGTTCTTCTTAAGATGCAGTACTCCAGGTCATTTTTTTTAAACATTCATCAAGGTAATAATAAAATTGAAGTAAAGCCACCTGATCATGATTATCTGAAAGGATCTGATCACAAATAAAGTTAATTCTTTCTGTCCAAGAACCCATGGAAATTTGTTCAGAATATCAGCCTGATATTTTTGTTTGTCTTAAATCTTTAAGATAAGAGTCATACTTCGAGAATAAGGATTAGTAGTGATGTCAGATGAGAAAGAAAGATGAGAGGGTTCATCTTGACAATTAAAGAAGTAAATAGATATGGCTGTTATATGAATCTCAGTGCTATTACTATCCTTGAACATTTTTCTCAACTTAAATATGTGATCTAAAAATTTAACATTGACTTCTAATAGATGCATCTTTAAGGAGCCTTTTAGGGTAGTTACTTCTTATAAAGTGAATCTTTTACATTTTTATAAAAACTATTTCTTGACTGCACTAGTAACTAATATATTTCTTTAACTAATTTTTATGCACAGGCTTTTTAAGAACTTTTTCAGCCTCTGCAAGCCTAGCACCTTGTTATGGAATTATTGTTCTCAACTTATATGATCTATTGCCACATACCTCATGAATATAATAAGGACCTGTAAACTTTTATTCAAATTTGGCACTATATGACATGTCTAAGTAGATCATATGTAACAAAACTTTATCACCAATATAGTAAGATTTAATATTATGCTTCTTATCATGATATGCCTTTTGTTTGTTTTGAGCTGTTTTAACATACACTTTAGCTTGATTTTGAACATCTTTTAAGTTTCTAAAAATTGACTCAATCTGCCATAGTAGATAATCTTGCATATTAGTTTCAGAAATAGGTTTAACAGGATATGTAAAAATAATAGTTTCAATAGGCAAAATGGCATCTTGTCTGTATACCAAGTAAAAAGACTCATATTAAATAATATAATATCTAGTGGTTCTATATGTGAACAAAGCTGCTGCAATGTACTGGGTCCAGTTACCATTATATTGTCTGATACACTTTGCTAGCACTTTATATAAGGTTTTATTGAACCTTTCTACTAAGCCATTTGTTTTGGAGTGATAGGCTATAGAGGTTTGATGATAGACATTCATTTTTGCACAAAGAACATTCACAAGTTTGTTGCAAAAATGAGAACCTTGGTCTGAAAGTAATTTATGCAGACTTCTATGCCTATATATGATGTTCTCAAAAATAAAAAACACTATTGATTCAGCATTGGCTTTCTTAAAAGCATGTGCTTCTGGCTACTTGGTAAGATAATTAGTGGCTACTACTATATAATAATGTCCTTTTCCAGTTATAGGAGTGGTTCTACAATGTCAATATCTAAGTGATCAAACAGTTTTCCTATCTTAATCAAATGTAGAGGTTCACATGTTTTAGGTCTAACTCTTCATTGACAAATGTCATAAGCCTCAATAAATCTTTTAATATTATTCTTTATCTGGGGCCAATACTATTAAATTACAACCCATTGATATGTGCTGTCCCTCCCAAAATGCCTAGCTAGGCATCATATGCAATATTGGTTTCACTTCATAGAGCTTTAGGACCTGTAAAGGTTTCTCAGAATCTCATGAATTAGTCTTATACAGCAATTTGTTTCTAACAAAGTAATATTGAGTCTTATGTTTCAGTGTTTTTTTATTGAAATTAGAGAGCACCTCAGACTGGCTAAAGTAATTAATAAAAATTTTATATGTTTTTATGTTCATTTGGTTTATTTAAATCAAAATTGGGTTATCTGAAAACAAAGTCCTGTTATAATACATAGAGTGATATAAATTTAGAAGCTTTCTTATTTAAATTTATGATAAACTATCAGTATTTAAGTAAAATTATCCTAACTTGTAAATAGTTGTAAAAGAGTACTCCTGCAAGGTCAGGATCCATCTGGCCAGTCGATTTTGGGGTAACTGATATGAAAATAATGATTTTAGTACTGAATGATCTGTATAGAAAGTAAAATGATTTCTATGAAGATAAGGCCAAAAATAGGATACTGCCTAGACTATCATGAGACACTTTTTCTTAGTAACAGAATAATTTTTTTCTGCTAGAGTTAATGAATGACTTGCATAAGCTATAACTCTTTTCATCCTTTCTTATTTAACTATGAAAGTATAGCTTCTAGAGCTAGATCAGAAGCATTTGTAAAGAAAATGAATAGTTTTAAGAAATCAGAATAGGTTAATATAGAGGCCTCTAAAAGCTTCCCTTTAAGCTGTTCAAATGTGACTTGATGTTTAGAAGTTCAAGTATACATACTACTCTTTTTTAACAGGGTATTAAGGGGCTCAGCAATGTTTGTAAAGTTAGATATAAACTGTCGATAATAAGAAACCAATCCTAAGAACCTGTGCAATTGCTTTAAGTTTCTAGGCACAAGAAATTTTTGTACAGCCTGGACTTTTTCTGAATCAGTCAATATCCCCTTAGTGCTTACAATATAGCCTAGGAACTTCAGTTCATGTCTTGCAAAAAAACATTTCTGAGGTTTGAGTTTTAAGCCCACAGTCTTTAATTGTTTAAAAACCTCTTGCAAGTATTTAATATGCTAATCAAATGAACTAGAAAAAACATTCAAATCATCTATATACTATGATGAACTGCCTAATAATATCCTTAAAAATCTGGTCTATTAATCTTTAAAAAGTCACAGAAGTATTCATAAGCCCAAAGAGCATAACATTAAACTCAAAAGTCTTATAGAGTAAAATAAATGCTGTCTTTTCTTTATCACTCTTAATCATCTTGACCTGCCAGTATCTACTGGCTAAGTCTAATGATGTAAACCATGACAATCCATTTAATATATCCAACAACTCATCTACTCTTGGTAAAAAGTAATTATCTCAGATTGTAACAGCATTCAACTTTTGATAATCAACACAAAATCACATCTTTTGTCTTTTCTGTCTTACAAGCACCACAGGAGACATCCAAAAGCTAGTAAAAGATCTAATAATACCTTCAGTCAACATTAGGTTAATTTCTTTCTTAAGAAATTTTTTTTCTGCAGAAAGTGCCTATAAGAACATTGTTTTATAGGCCAAACATTCTTAGTAGGTATCATATGCTAAATTATATCTGTCCTTCTTAGATTACTAATATTCTGCACTCATATATATTTATGTTCATTTAATAATTGCACCAATTGATACTTCTGAGGCTCATTTAGCTCTCCCACCTTATAGTTGACCCATGATTAAACCTTACTCTCATAGTAATAATCAAATAAATGAAGATGGATTTATACACTTCTTCACTAATCTCTAAATTTAATTTAATAAACTTGAGCTCTTTATTATACTACTGATCTATCAGTCTTCTTTCCTGTCTTCATATTTAGAATAAGCAAATAATTGTTTCTCGAGTTCCTCATCCTCATAATCATCATCAGAACTATCATCCTTGCTTTTACTACCAACTTTCTTGACTACTACTTCGTGTCCTTCCTCTAATGGTATCTTATTTAACTTCTGAAATTCAACAGAGATCATTATTTCTTTATTGTCTCAGTGTAAAATCATCTTAGCATTATTTTAATCAATCGTGGCATTAACTTTAGCTAACCAATTATTACCTACTATTGCACAATATGAACTAGTATCTGTTACAATTACATCAATAGGGATTTATACTTCCCTAATACAAAAAGAAAAATTAGAAATTTCTCTAATTGTCCTTCTACTTTCTACATAAATATTTATCATATTTACAACCAACAGTTGCTCAATTCTTATACCCAGATCACTTAGTAAATAAAATAACACAACACTCCCTGATGATCCACTATCGACAATTAATAAGATGACCTAACCTTGAACCTTAGCATTACAATATAGAGCTGTAGCTTTCAGTATGGGTTGAAGATTTATGTTTTCTTGAACCTTCTTTTAAATGGAGTTTCTCTGCTTCTTCAATGACTGAGACACTTCTTGCTGCATGGATTGTGAGGTCCTTAACAGCTGACCAAAGGTAATATTGGTAGGCTGATCTCTTATATCCACTACTATAGAATAAGAAGGAACCAAAAAAGAAATTCAAAGTAATTCTTCCTTAGCATTCTTCCTTCTTGAGACAGATGCCTTTTTGGTTTTGGCTTTTTTACTATTATTCTTTTTAACTGCTTCTAATGATTTCCTTAGGGTCTGACTGTTGGTTTGTTCAACTTCTTGTGATGTAATAATTGGATTAAATTCAGCTTGCTTATGCTTAGTTCATTCATTTTGGTCTTGTTCTTCTTGATTATTTTTCATATTAACATCCAAATCAGGGATCAGTACTCTATTAGCTGCACCTAACCCTGGAGCTTTGTTACACATTCATTCACTACCCTTCTGCCACAGGATCAAAGTACTAGCTATAGGCTTCTGTTTTATATATCTATCAGCTGGAAGGAACAAAGATTCATCTTCCTCATAAATCCCTAAAAAGGAAGGTTAATTATCCTGATGGTTATCTGAATTTAAAGTATTTAATAATGCTAACAAGGTTTGAACAGTCTTCTGTGAATTAGTATTACTATTATTGATGGGAGTAGGATAAATAGAGGTAGTTGAATTAGTTGGTTCTTGCATCACTGGGTTTGGATACTGATGATTTATATACCCAAATTGATTGCATTTATAACAAACTATTCCTGAATTCTGGCCTGTTGTTGTTTCTAGTTGATAAGGTCTAAAAGGTCATCTCTGGTCTTGCATCTGAGTCATCATCTTATTGATGGCATCAGTAAGTTTGTTTATATCTTCCTCTGTTGTAGCAGAAGTGGTACTTATAGTAGAGTCATTCCTGTCATACCAAGTATTCCATAAGGAGGATAACTTACAGGGGAATCTAAGAAAGTAGCATAGAAGGGGTTATGCTTATATGCATTTTCAAACACTTTCACTCTAGTATAAGCTTTCTTAAGAGTATTTGGTATCAAAGAAGAAACTTCTATATAAAGTTCAGAATGTAGCCTATTGATAAACATTTGGCTTTAGCTATGTTGGGATATTGGTGACCATCAGATTCAACTTGTCGAAGCATTTCTTTTATAGATGTATAGTAATCTACACTTTCTTCTAGTAACTGTTTTCTCTAAGACAATTGTGTAAATTACTTCTCTTCTAGATTAGGTGTCCTAAATTTAGTGATAAAATGTATAACAAAACTTTGCTACGATACTAAAGGATCATGCCATCAATTGATTATAGGCTGCTAACTTTTTCTTGTAACCTACCATGTTGCCACAGAACCCTTTAGCATTGGTACAATCACTGGAATCTTATGCAAGAAAGTGATGAGATTAGCTTCAAAGACTTTTTCTACATTCTCTAACCAGGTTATCAGACCCTGGTCCTTTCTATAGAACTCAGAGTATAAAATGGTACTTAATTCTTATAGATTACCAGGAAAGTTAATCTGTAATGATGAAGTAAGTTGCATTTGTTGGACCAAAGCAGCAATCTGATTAGTCTAATTGTGCATAGGGTTATTTAAGATAATACTAGGTTATTGTGGTTGCTGAGAAGGGTTGAGGTGGTTGAGCCATTTCACTATTTTTCTTATCTTTTAATTAAACTTAACAGTTTTTATTTTTCAAAATTCACACAACTGGCACCAAATATTACTATTGTATAGAGAGCTTATTTGAATATAAGTTCAATTTAACCCTAATAATTAACTTGACTTATATTTATTCTTGTAAGATCAGCTACTACAATACTGTATTCACATAACAGAACAGAGTTTAATTGATCAGAAATAAGGATTTAATCACTTAACAGATTAATTTACAGAGTTGAATTTAAGGAATAATAAGGATTAATTTAAGTATAATGTTATTGATGCAATTACTTAAGGAGTTTTAAGAATTATTAAGTTGTTCAGAAACAACTTTAGTGTATTACTACAAGGATTAGTATAATGAATACAACTTGTAATATAATAAAGTTAATAAATTAAACACTTTGAGAAGTTGATTTTTATTTTCTTTTATTTAAAGACATCGAAGTCTGTCCCTTTTATTTGAGTGTAAAGTGACTCTTTAAATACATTTTTCTAACTACTATTTTACTACTGCACTTTAATCATATCCACAATATGCTTCCTTTTCGTCTAACAACAATTGTGTTTTATTGTAAGTAAATTGTGCTGATTATTTGATCAGCCTAAGAACTATAGGACACAATGATTGTTGTTAATGCAACAAGTATATCAACAATAACTCGTTATACACTTCTGCTAATTTCTAAACCAACCCTCCCTATAATAAGCTATCAACAAACTAAAAAACTAAATAAAAAAAATATATAAACAAATAAATAGAAAATAAGAAAATAAATAAAAAAAATAATCAAAGCCTTGTTTCTATGTTATGGGGACCTATAACAATATCAAGTGAGTAAAATATATTTTTCACAATAATTGAGTTTATAAGATTATTGTAAAATGTATAAATAAGCAAAAATATTGAATAGCATATACAACTCATTCTTAAAATATACATAACATATTATCATTCTATTAGAACTAGATAATTAACCTATTTGATGTATATAACTCTAAAATAAGAATGGCTAAAGTAGTTATAATAGGTGAAAAGTTATATATATATATAAAATTCAAATTATGTGATGTATTACTTACATAATGAACTTTAAATTTGAAGCTAGCCAATAATAAAATGACTATATTACACATGATATTCAATATCTTTGCTTATTTATACATTTTACAATGAACTTTGTTAACTCGATCATTGTGAAAATTTGGTCGAAATTTGATTTTTTTTTTTATTCTTAATTGTGACAATAGAAAATTTATGATTTAGGCCTGTGCAATTGTAAAATTAGTCCAGAAACATATTGCATTTAGCATTAAAAATTACATTTTACAAACTTACAATACATATATTTTTACATAATTTTAATAACATATAAATTTCACATATGTGATATATATTGCAACACTATGAAAATTTAGCTGTCATTATTGAACTTCAATAGATTTTGCATGAAGTTTACTAATCAAATAGATGCACATATTATTAAAACATCATATTGAAACATATAAAAAATGATCACATTTTTTACAAATTACATTTCAGAAACTTATGCAAACTTACATAAAATTATTAAAATTACATTAACAGATGCACAATTTGTCACACAGATCAGGTGTGCAAAATTTTTAATTGGAAATTTGAGTGATCGACATCCATATGATAGGCCTATTTTTAATAGTAAATTGCAATGTTAGGACTTTTTCAAAAGTCATTTTCAGGAGTTTCTTAAAAGGAAACCACACTTACAAGACTAGATACAACTGTTTAGCTATATAATACTTAATTGATTTGTAGCTTTAAATGAGAAAAAAAAATAAAGCTAGAAAGATCATGCTCTCAAAAATAGTCTTTCATTCTATTTTATATAGTACTTATAATGCAACAGAACCTTCTTTCTTTGAAACTTTTTAAGCAAAAATCCACATTCTTGCTCAAGATTATGAATTTCAAGGAACATTAAAAGAATTCAGAACTATTCTAGTTTGGGTTTGTTCACACCCAAAGCTCAAACTAATATGGTATATACTGTCAGATCTCTCTAAGTGTACAGTTTTGGAACTGTACTTTAACAATGTGTACTTAGAGAATAAGAAAAATGCATTTATAGAGATTAAACATATATTTTTGTTAGAATTTGAGCATGCACTTATAGAAAGTATACTTAGAAAGGTCTGACTGTATTCCTCATAGTTGTATATAATCTATTTGTGAGGTATCAAAGTATTCTTTCAATTTTTTATAAATGGCAATTGTGTTTTTGGAAGGTCTAAGATTCGTTCAAGTTTTGCTAACCAGTAGTAATATTTAAACAAGTAATCTATTTGTTATTAATTTAATTCAATTTATAATTAATGATTGTATTTATTCAAGTAATAATTATAAAATAAATAAAAATTAAAGTTTCAAAATTTAAATTGTATTTTATTAGGCCTGAATCCAAAATTTGAATTGATAAAAATGTACTATATAAAATCTTTATTTGCACCTATATTATTTACAAAGTTTTTTATAGTATACATGCACTAATTAACTGTGCTATATTATTAAACTGTTTTAGTTAATAATTTAATCAATCAATTAATAATCATTATCAGAACAGTGTTGACAAGGCTATTATATTTAATTATTCCAAACAAATTAGTCATATGAAATTTATCAACTTAGATTCAGTAAAGTCCTATTACCAAATATTGTTAAGAGAAAAAGGCACATCAGATGTTTAAGTATAATATCAATTATTTATTTAATTTAGCTATTCTGTTCAATTCCTAAAATTGCTCGATATTGTTTGGCTAAATTAGAAAAATCATTAATAATATACTTAAAAATCAGAAGTGCCTTTCTCTCTTGGCAGTACTAATAATTAAAAGCCCAATGTGCATTGATTAGAAAATAACTTTATTCCAAAATAATGCTCCAGGCATTACTTCAGGATAATACAATAATATAAAATGTCTGAAGTGCCTTTTTCCCTTAACATTTTTTTGTTACATAAATTAATTTGTTGAAATGCATTAACTAATTGTTCAATTGAATAATGACTTTATTGATTTATTAGTTTTTGATTGTTCTACTATTGATTCATCAGTTTTTTTTGATTGTTTTACTATTGATTTATTAATTTTCAATTGTTCCACTATTGATTTATCAGTTCGATTGTTTTAAAAACTATGCAAGTATGTCTAGTCAAACCCAAGACAAATTATTATAAATACTTCCTGTATATTCATCTTTCAAACTGCAAAAAAATCACCAAAAAAATAATTAGTATCATTAAATATATCCATTTTTATAAAAAATAAATAAATAAATAAAAATTATAAAAGAATTTTTGTATAAAATTTCATCTAAATATGAAGAGGTTTATGATGAGTTTAGTTAAGAATTTAATTCAAGCATTGAACACAAAATGTATAACGAAATACTCACATTTGATCATTGTCCATTGGAAAAATTGCAAGAAATCATGACTCAATCAATCAATGAATTGAATGATGAACTATTTGAAAGTGATGATGAAGTTTCTCAGAATGATAATATAACAAATATATTTAAAGAATTTGAAAAAGAAGTGCCTCTTACCCTGAATCATAATATCAAAACAGCATGTTGTGTCATCATTGACAATGACAATGACAATAATATAATCCAAAGATGCACTGAACCAGGAGACTGTTATTTAAGGCAACTATTTGGTACATGGAAAATCGATTTTTAAGCTGTGCAAGAAGTTGCAGGTGATATTTCAGTGCTAAAAATTTGTTTGTACCATCTAAATTATGATTAAAAAACTGTATATGAATTTCAATCAAAGGTACAGTTCACCAACAAAAGCATAATAAGCTTACGTTATTGCCTATTTTGTAATAAATTAAAATATTTTTTTACAAAAGGCAAAACATATGCATTGCATACATGAAAAGTATGCGAATGCACAATTTAAGTGCCATGTCTCAGATCGTTTAAGTATCTGGCAATAACTGAATATGAGGATCTATCAAAAAAAACACTCATTAATGATAAACTTTGTTTCATTTATACAGTCTGCTTTGTAAAAAATAGTGGTCATTTGCAAATTCGAGCGAAAAAAAAGGATAAGTCTTGTTTCATGTGTAGAACAACAACAGCACAAGACTGATACCAAGTCTGCTTTGAAGTTTTTAGCTAAGTGGATTGAGCAAACTACTGAATTTGGAAATGAATCTACAAATATTAGTATATTAAAGGAACTTGTTAAACTTTTTGATAATATTATGACAGATAGACCCGAAATGAAAGATGCTACTAGTATGTCTTCTACAACATCTACAGTTTCAAGTTTTTTGTTAATAAAAACAGCATTTGCTATTAAAAGAATTAAAGTTAACAAAGAACAAGAACTATTATCAAAAACTGCTACATACAATATGTTAGGAAGCATGCTTGCTTCTTCTATATTAAAAGCATAATCCAATCTAAAAAAAAAGTTATCATCACTTAAAGAACCCAAATCCTTAGAAGAATATTATTTAGTAATATCATCGTTTCTTGTCAATTTTTTTTATAGTTTAATTCTAACTATAAAAGAAAAAAATTGCAAATATTAGCTAGAAAAAGAAAAAAAAGAAACATGCCTCCTTTGCAATTGGAAAGAAGAAAAATTAAACTACTTTTCTTCTTTTTTTCTTCTATAATACTTACAATTGCTTTTCCCTAATGGAAAATATGATTAACGCATATTCCCTCTTCTCTTTGTCGATGACCAAAAATGGTAAGAGTTTTATATAAAATTCTTTACACAGTTTGGGTATTAGCATACATTAGAAATCACGAAGTTTGCATCCAAAAAAAAAAATATCTGCTGCAGATCCTTGGTCAAGACTAAACTTGAATCCAAATATTTTAAACATCACAGCTATTAACAACATTGATATGAAAGATATGACTTACCAATAAGGTAATATTTTTGATGTTGTGTGCAATACTGCACATGCAACAGCATGAATGGTCTTTCAATTCCAATGTTTAAAACTTGTTAATTTGAATGATTATCTCATAGAAGATATAAATAATTACCCACTTTTTGGTATAAGTTCGATTATAGAACAATGGCAAACCAAAATAGACTGGATTTTTAATCAACTAGTTGACGAAGAACTGACTTTTGACATTAAACATATTGACAAAATTATTAGAAACAATATTGATTCAATGATGTTTGTAGCTCCTCAAATGTTATAATTCTTGAATCGAGAAAAGCTCCAAGTAAAGACAAGTATGTTTACAAAGTTGTCGACATGTTTCTGGAAAACTTTGGTTGTATAGAAAATAGTGTATTAAATTTAGTATGTGATGAAGTGATCTATTGTTACATAAAAAACTATAAAAGCAATGAACAAACTGTGCATTGCATTCTAGGACAATGGCATACCAACAAGACAATGTGCAATGCAATAATTACTGCCTTTTCAGGTTATGAGCTTTTTGGGCTTGCTACATGGCTTGGTGTTAAGTTTCTTGACAAGCTTGAACAGGTTGTTGACTATTGAGCAACATTTAGAGTACTTGAGCTCTTTTAAATGGCTGTAGGCATTGCAATTCATCAATATATAAAAAAAAAATCTTTATTAATGATATTTTAAAAAAAAACAATAATTTCTTAAAAGTATAGTATAATTTTTACCAGTGGATAGGATACTTAAAATTGCACAAGTTGGGTATTCGAATTAGAAACTTTGACTTACAACTACACAACTTGATGACATTTGCACCTTTATTTCATATTACAAGAAAATATAGGTATGCAGAATCAGTAACACAATTTATATCAGAGCTGCGAAATGAGTCACAATTTCTCTAAACTTTTCAAATGGTGCCTTTAATTAATTTGACATGGAAAGGACATTATTTCACTTTTGACAAAGCTCTAGAAATATTTGGAATAAAATTCCTAAAAGAAAATATGACTGGTTGTGTAATGAATTTAGAAAATCTAAAGTTAAATATCAAAGCAGCACAAACAGAATATGATCGACTTAATTTGTTAGTTTCAAAATTTACTGATGATCAATCAGTAAGCAAAAGTTCACAATCTATCAAAAATCATCATAAAGCTTTTTGGAAACTAATTAATGAACTTAGGTTAGAATTTGACAACCAACAACCAGAAACCAGTATATTATTTGCAGAAACTACACAACTTACAAAAGATGGATACTGACGAATGTTTACTTGCTATAAATTAGGAATCAAAAAAATGAACGATATTGTTGAAAAAAATACTTCCACACAAGCGATTCTAGTAACTATGAAGATAAAAAAAAGTAAGAAACATGTAAGAGCAGAAACTAATCAAGTAATGTCAGAAGAATCTCAAGTATCTGAGCTACATGATAATATGAAAGTTGAGGAGATTAATCAAAACTTACAATCGAGATTATCTTCTGAATTATTTCACCAAAGAAAACAACATTTGACACACATACCCATGACTATTGAAGAACAAATTCTCTTAAAACTCAAAAAATTTAAAGACTCTACAGTATTACCTTCAGAAGTTATTAAAGATTTGGTTGAAAAGTTGGCAGTTTATACAGATTATTGGAATTCAAAATGAATTTAGGATCAATGGTATAATCAGTATATTAGAGTGAAAAAACAGAAATCACAAACTTAGATTTAGATAATTAAAGATATTATATTAAATAATTTAATATTAATAATAAAAATTGTCATAATTATTTTTAAAAAAAAAGTTTTCCTTGGATAAAGTTAAATTATAAAAGAAAAAATGTTAAATTCATATAATTTACCTATGTGTAAAACAGTTTTCTTTGATTTTTCTCATTATGTTCATAATGCACCCACCCTTCACAGATGCATTTTGAAGAAAACTCTCACCTTGGTGCATCTAATGATCTATTTTTTATAACGAATATTTACAAATTGAAGAAAGATCAAGCGAAAGAAGACAAAAAA